CGAAACTTGAGTTGCTTATGTGAGCGTAAAAAAAAAAAAAAAATCCTAATAAAAAAATAACAAACTACCCACATCTGGACATAGGTTAGCCACAGTTTCTCAAGTCCACTGGTTCTTGGAGAAGCCAACGCCATCACCCAGGTATCAGCGGACGCCTGCTCAGCCGGGACTATAGGTTGGTGGCTGGCAGAGCACAGGATCTGCACGGAAAGAATCGGGGGTGTTTGACGGCTGGACGTTCGTTGAATTCAGAGTCGAGCAAGGTGACGGTGTTGGGAGAAGGGACTTAGCAGGAATAGAGAGCAGCAGCATCGGTTTCATTTTTCCTAGGGTGGAGGGGAGAAAACCACCTGACATTTTTTATGCAGTTTCATGTCCTGCCGTGTCCCCAAGTTTGCGGGCCGCCACCGACTCCTGAAGGAGGGGAAACAGGACGGGACGGCTTCGAATCCTCTTGTGGTTTCCGGTTGCCATTGCAGCCTCATTCTGTGGTTTGAAACGCAGGCTAGACCGAGGTCTGTTTCGGAGAAGACGCCTGAGGACACTGCGCCCAGAGCCGCTGGGAACTCGTGTCTGTCCGCCACCCGCTCCAGAGCTTCGGCTTCTGGATACAGACGTGAGGTCACGGCTCAGGTTCTGTAGCAGCACCGGGAGCCGCCGGTCTGCGAGCCGATGGAAGCGGGGGGCCAGGGGCACGAGCAGTTCTGAGGTGCCAGGATCTCAGGTCTGATGCCTGGACCGGTCAGGCTTTGCCGGGTTCACCACGCAGACTCGCTGCTGATGCCCACCAGCCACCATCTCAGTATGAGCCATTGTCTCGGAGACAGACCCCGAGTGCAGGTGGAGCCGGGCAGGCCCTTGGCAATTAGCAAGGACAAGCCTGTCCTCTTTGGGGGGCGGCTGGAACGTGAACGTCATTCCCACACGTTAAGGAGAGGCATTCCAGCTGCTGCTTCGTGTGCCCCCTTCAGCATCGTTCCGTGGAGGCAGAGTTTGTCATCAGCTGCCCCTCCCACCTGAGGGGAAGAAGGCTAATTGTATGTAAGGTAATAAATGCCCAGTTATTCTGGAGGCCGGGCGTTTGGTTTGACATGGTCGAAGGTCCCTGAATGTATGTCCTTGTGTCCACTTGATCTCATCGTGTGTAAGTCCGTGTGTCTGATTGTGAGAAAGGGGTTCGTTCCTGGGGGAAAACGAGCAGCTTTGCCTGGGGTTCGGGAAGTGCTTTCATGCACAGACCAGGTGCTGAGAAACGGTGGCCACCATTCCCATCCCCCGTCTGAGCAAGGCGGACTAAGATTCGGTCGGCAGCACGAAACAGCCACGCCAGCCGTGGCCGCCTGTGGAAAGGTGACGGAGTGCTGAGGCTGGGTGAGGGACACTGTCCTTTATGTCATCCAGCCTGTGGTGTGGGCGGACTCGACGGGAAGAGTTTCTCACGGAAGTGGGGCCGCACACAGTGAGGGTCACCTGCAGGGATTTCTGGGGCGCTCACTGGCTGTGTGCCACTCAGCTGAGCGAAGCCTGGAGTGTGACCCTATTAAGCCTTTTCACATAAAACGAGGTTTTCACTCTCACCCACACCTAGCCGTCTGTAGAGACTACCTGTGCAGAGTTCCGTGTCACAGAGACCAGAAATAAAAATGCTCATGTATGTCCTGGGTCTGCCTGGAGTGTGACCTAGCAGAAGCTGTGCCGCCTTGGGCATTGTGCCTGCAATTCCTTCATAGTTCAGTGATGTCCACCCTGTCATTTGGGGACAGAATATCTTTTAAGTGACTCCACTGGAAATCCGTGATAATACAGTTTTTCTAAAACCCCATGGCAGTGCCCTCATTTGCTTGTGGTTAACTCTAAAGGCAGGATGAGGTAATAAGTGGCCCAGAGATAATAAGCACAAAGGTCTGTAACGGCGGCTGAGAAACTGGCTGCCGCTCTCTTTGGCGTCAGTAGTAACTTTTATTCCTGACCGGAGTGTGTGTCCTCCTTTGGAGAAAATAAGGTGACCTGGAGACCATCGGTCGTGGGATCGGGGAAGACCACCCGGGCTCAGAGTCCATCCTCCTCCTTTGGCAGAGGCTTGGTCAGCACCTGCCGCTGCAGAGGGAAGGCTCGGTGCGTGTTGTGTTTCCTGGGAAGCGAGACGCACCCAGGCTTTACCCCGCTGTGGGAGAAACACCGACGAGCTTTCCAGGGCTCATGCTTGGCTCGGAGGAGGCGCAGGCATAGGATTTAGTTACTGAGCAATTACCGTTTATCTGAGCAGCTTGTATGTCTTGAGTTTCCTTTACTTTCAAAGAACCCCTCTCTTAAATACAGGAAGGAGGACGTTTGGTCTTTTTTTCACGTGTAGTAATCCTTTCATTGGATTTGCTGATTTGGGGCAGTACACACAGCAGGGAGAGGAAGAACGCAGGCATCGGGGATAGACAGGGCTGGAGTTTTATCCCAGCTCCGCTGCTTATTAGCTGCATGTCCTTGGACCAGTTACTTAACCTCTCTAAGCAATTATAAAAAATGATATTAGTTGATTCCCAGGATATTAGTGTTTAAACGAGAATAATGCTCATAAAGTGTTTGGCACAGAACCCATCATCTAATAAGCAGATGCAGAACATCAGTGACTATTCTAGTTTAACACACAAACCATCACTTTGGCCAGGACTGTGCTATGAGGCTGGGGATACAGAGGCGACCCACACAGTCACGGCCACCGCCATCCGCAAGCTTACAGAGTTGCCTGGGATAGGCGCTCACAGCAGATTCAGGAGCTGTCCGTGTTTGGCTGTAAATTAAAGCCATGGGGGTAGCTGTGGCCACCGAGAAAGAAAGGGAAGTCATGCTCAGCAGTTGATGAAAAACAAACCAAACCTCAGAACATTTACCGAGCACTTATTATGGGCGCGTCCCGGGTCCTCACGGCCCCGGTTAACCATCCGTTACACCTAGTCCTCTGCAGGCGCTTCGGCCTCGAGCCCACATCAGAAGCCCCGGAGGGCTCGTTAAAACGCAGATCGCTGGGCCCACCCCGAGTTTCCGATTCGGCGGGTGGGGCGGGAGCGAGTTCGCACCTCTGACCCGTTCCCAGGTGGTGTTATAGCAGAGAGGAAAAGCTCGGGGATAAGCAGCCTCCGTGAGACTAGACGCCCAGGACACGTCTGGGTTGTCTTTGCAGCACGGTAGCTGCCTGTCGCAGCGGGGAAGGAGAGCCTGGGGTGGGCGGGGCACAGCCACCAGGAGAAGGCTGGGCTTCCTGACTTCTCCAGCCTCCCGTACAGATGCTCACACATCTTGAGTTGGCCACAGAAGCCCATTGTCAAGAGGCAGTCCTGTACCTGGGTTTAGATGAGAGCCACCACGACAGCCCCATGAGAGACATTCTGTGAGTAAATCTGAGGCATACACTGGGTCTCCTGTCATCTGCCCTGCCTCCATGTGTTGTCATCAGGAATGTGCCGTCCCAGAGAGGGGCTGGGGAGAGGGATCCACACCTCCTGCTGGTGGCACAGGAGGCAAAAGCTAACAGTCTGCTCTGGCCCAGGTGGCCTGGCCTGACTGACAAACCAGACTGCCTGGGTGCCGACAGAGTTGAGGGTGACCGAACCTCTTGGCACGTGTGACTCTGTGCTCTTACTCGGGAGGGCCCCAACAGGAATCAGCTTTCCGTCCCATCCTTAAGAGGCTCACAACCTTCCTACAAGAGTAGCTAGCTATACCCAAAGTGCGTTTCTCTGAATGCCTCGCAGGAGAGCTAGGTATTTGTATTAGAGATTAGGGAGATCGAAGGCTGGCACTCAGCAGGCCCTCAATACAAGACGGTTCTCTTGGTCACGGTTAAGGTGCAGGTGAGCACAGGCTGACGTGCGGAGAAGGGCCTCCGGTAGTGTGAACGGTGTAAGTGAGGGCAGGAGGCCAGAAAGGGCTCGGTGTGAGGAAGGAATGGAACAGTGTGGTCTGGACCCTCAGGAGGTATAGCAGGGAAGCTCTGGGCTGGTTTCTCAGCTTCCCATGGACTCTCAGAATCCACTAAAAAGGCCACTTTCCACCAGCAAATCTCCAGGGCTGTCTTGGCGTTTTTTTCTGGATACAGGCCGCCTGGAGGGTCCGCTCCCCGTCTCCCCAAGGATGGGTCTCCAGGGGACGTTCTCCTTCCTCCTGGGGCTCCTGTTCGGCTCTATGCTCTTGGTGGCCTCGGCAACTCTTGAGTCTCATGACTGCAGCGACAAGGAGCAACAACAGGTCACCGTCAGTCACACGTACAGGATCGGTGTGCCCAAGTCCGCCCTGGTCCAAGTGGAGGCCGACCCTCCGCCCTTGGGTGACGACGGAGCCTCGCTCCTGGCCCCGGGGGAGGCCGAGGAACAGAATATCATCTTCAGACCTA